GGCCGACTCGGGTGCGATGTTTTTGACCGGAAAGAAAAAGTTCAAAAATCACCAAAACATGATTTTTGGACATATTGGAGTGTGTTGGGTGCGTTCGTGGCAAAAACTCACTTCCTGATTGATGCAGCAACGGGGGTTCCCGATCTTTCGATGAGAGGAGGATAAACTTTGATTTGGGGAAGGATACGACGTTGGCGGTCCGACTACAACTACCACAAGGGTGCTGCGCCTTAGCAACCGGTACACCGACTCCACGTTGTTGCTGTTCTTGCCGTGCCAAGAACAACCTTGAACCTGCAAGCAATCGAAGAACAAGCAAGAACAAGTTGACAAGGAAACAGCTCACGGCACTTGTCAAATGATGAAACTTAAACAAACCAAAATGGGGTTCTGAATACAAGTATCCGGGTGGTCTAGCCGACACACGCGAGTACAAGGAAGTAGCTGCAGCTAAACTTACATCAAAACAAAACCCAAAGTGCAAAATGGTGGCTGCTAGGAGTTTATATAGGTGGAGGAATGACCAGGAGAGGAGGTGGGAGCAAACCCTAGGTTATGTGGACCCCTAATGGGCTGTAATGATACAAGGCCCAAGCCCAAGTTTCTGATGTAAAGAACTATTTTCGTCATTCTGAGCAGCCTGGGTCAGAGTTGATGGTGAGGCCACACATAGCTGAAAGTAGACGACGAGATCTTTCCAACAAGTACTCATTTGCCCCGTTTGCCCTCCGGAGTGAAGAGCATTGACTTCATCAAATCAGCGCTGCTAGTGCTGCTTGCGATTTGGTTCCTCTCCCATATTCCTAACAACAAGTAGATCACAACAACCATTTAGTAGCACCCAATTCTGAGAAGAACTTGTATGATTAGCTAGGAATGACTTTACCTAATAATTAAGTTCACGAGCTCGAGCTCTAGTCATTGGTCCTTGCTGTGCAATAGGCGTGGTTGTATCGTTGGAAGGGATGTCCTCATCATCCTCCCCTTCTTGCATTTGAGTCGTCCTCGACTCTAACTCATCTTCTTCTCCCAAATATGGCTTTGAATCTGCAATGTTAAATGTGGGGCTAACACCAAAATCGGCAGGTAGCTCAAGCTTGTATGCATTGTCATTAATCTTTTGTAGCACTTTGAAAGGACCATCAGCTCTAGGTAGCAACTTAGATTTTCTCAAATTAGGGAACCTATCCTTTCTCAAATGCAACCAAACCAAATCACCAGGTTCAAAAGCAACATGTTTCTTTCCTTTGCTCCCAGCAAGTTTATACTTAATATTCATGTGCTCTATGTTCTCCTTAGTGGTCTCATGCAGTTTTAACATCAATTCAGCGCGATATTTTGCATCAAAGTTCACTCTCTCTGAAGTTGGGAGGGGCAAAAGATCAATTGGAGCACGGGGTAGAAGGCCATAAACAATCTCAAAAGGGCACTTCTTAGTAGTAGAATGTTGTGAACGATTATAAGCAAACTCAACATGAGGCAAACATTCTTCCCACATTTTAATATTCTTTTTCAAAACAGCCCTAAGCATTGTAGATAATGTTCTATTCACCACCTCAGTTTGTCCATCAGTTTGGGGGTGACATGTAGTAGAAAATAAAAGTTTAGTCCCCAACTTAGCCCACAAGGTTCTCCAAAAATGACTAAGGAATTTTGTATCGCGAACAATCTCACGAAAGAACAAATCAGCAACATGTGTAGCATCATCACTCTTATGACAAGGTATGAAATGCGCCATCTTAGAAAATCTATCTACAACAACAAAGATACTGTCCCTCCCCTTCTTTGTTCTAGGCAGCCCTAAAACAAAGTCCATAGAAATATCCTCCCAAGGCACACTAGGAACAGGCAAAGGCATATACAAACCATGAGGGTTAAGGCGTGACTTAGCTTTTTGGCATGTTGTGCAGCGAGCAACGAACCTCTCCACGTCTCTCCTCATCTTAGGCCAAAAGAAATGATCAGCAAGGATATCCTCCGTCTTCTTCACACCAAAGTGTCCCATCAGCCCTCCACCATGCGCTTCCTGCAATAATAGCATACGCACGGAGCTAGCTGGAATGCATAACTTATTAGCTCTAAACACAAACCCATTGGTGAGAACGAATTTGTTCCAAGTCCTTCCCTCCTTGCAATTCAACAACACATCTTTAAAATCATCATCGTGCGCATATTGCTCTTTTATTGTTTCTAAGCCAAAAATTTTGAAGTCAAGTTGGGATAGCATTGCGTAACGTTTAGACAAAGCATCAGCAATGACATTTTCTTTTCCCTTCTTATGTTTGATGACATATGGAAAAGATTCAATAAATTCAACCCATTTAGCATGCCTACGGTTAAGTTTTGCTTGACTTCGAATGTGTTTCAAAGATTCATGATCAGAGTGTATAACAAATTCTTTGGGCCATAAATAATGCTGCCATGTTTCCAATGTTCGCACTAGAGCAAACAATTCCTTATCATAAGTAGAATAATTCAAACTAGGCCCACTCAATTTCTCGCTGAAATATGCTACAGGTTTGCCTTCTTGTAACAACACACCACCCAATCCAATCCCACTAGCATCACATTCAAGCTCAAAAGTTTTGTTGAAATCAGGAAGTTGGAGTAAAGGAGCGTGTGTTAACTTATCTTTCAAAGTGTCGAATGCATTCCTTTGTGCTGCAGCCCAAGTGAATGTGACATTTCTCTTGGTAAGCTCATGTAATGGGGCTGCAATGGTGCTAAAATCCTTCACAAAGCGGCGGTAGAACCCAGCAAGTCCTAGAAAGCTTCTCACTTGTGTGATCGTTGTTGGAACCGGCCAGCTATGTATGGCTTCAACCTTGGCTTGATCTACTTCAATTCCCTGCGGAGTCACAACATAGCCAAGAAAAGAGACTCGATCTGTGCAAAATGTGCACTTCTCAAGGTTACCAAATAAACGTGCATCTCGTAGAGCATCAAAAACAGCACGCAAATGACCATGATGATCCTCTATTGATCTGCTATATATGAGAATGTCATCAAAATATACCACCACAAATCTGCCAATGAAAGCACGTAAAACTTCATTCATTAATCTCATGAAAGTACTGGGTGCATTAGTGAGACCAAAGGGCATGACTAACCACTCATATAGGCCGAATTTAGTTTTAAAAGCTGTTTTCCATTCATCTCCTAACTTCATGCGAATCTGGTGGTAACCACTACGCAAATCAATTTTAGAGAACACAAGTGAACCACTCAATTCATCAAGCATATCATCTAGCCTAGGGATAGGATGACGATATCTGATTGTGATGTTGTTAATTGCTCTACAATCCACACACATGCGCCATGAGCCATCTTTCTTAGGAACTAAAAGCACGGGGACAGAACAAGGACTAAGAGACTCACGTACATACCCCTTGTCGAGTAACTCTTGCACTTGACGCTGAATCTCCTTTGTTTCCTCCGGGTTGGTCCTGTATGGCGCACGGTTTGGCAGAGAGGCCCCAGGAATGAGGTCAATTTGGTGCTCAATCCCTCGAATTGGTGGCAGCCCCGGTGGAACCTCCTTTGGGAAAATATCAGCATACTCCTGCAAAAGGTTAGTGACCGGAGGAGGCAAAGAAATAGGAGTATCCTCAATTGGAAATAAGGTTTCTTTGCAAACCAAAGCATAGCAAACAACAGTGTCAGTGTCAACTTCATCCAAATCTGATTTTGTTGCAATGAAACAAGATCCCTTCAGCTTAATCTCATTTTTATTATTTTGAACAGAGTTGGTGGGTTTCTTCTTATGCTTCTCAAGTTCATTAGCCGCAATAAGATGCTCACTCCTAGTACGCTCCTGATTTTTTTGTTTGCTAGCTCTAGCAAGTTCATCCTTTAAAATAACTTCAGGAGACATAGGATGTAACACAAGTTTTTTTCCATTATGCACAAAGGAGTATTGATTGGATTTGCCAAAGTGTAAAGAATCTTTATCAAACTGCCATGGCCTACCTAATAACATAGAACATGCTTGCATAGGCACAACATCACAGTTGATTGAATCATGATAAGAACCAATGGCAAAATGTACTCTTACCAATCGTGTTACCTTTACCTTGTCGCTGCTATTAAGCCATTGAATATAGTAGGGCTGTGGATGTGGCTGTGTGCTCAATGCAAGTTTCTCCACCATTTCAGCACTAGCCAAATTATTGCAGCTTCCTCCATCTATGATGATGAGGACATCAACACCATCGATACATCCACGTCCCCCCATGTACAGCATGATGGTCCTATTACCCGCGCTTGTGCACGTCAACTAAATTATCAGGTGAGTTCTTTCTTGAGTTCATATTCCTCGTCTTTATACCCCGGAGACGCGTGCACTCGTGTTTTACTCAGGAACGATGGAGAGGATCCAAAGGGAAGAGGATTCGCGCGGGGTGGATTCGGACTGCAGGGCAGCGCCAACTTCTGACGGCCGCCACGACTTCATGCGAACTCCGATTTGGGCGTGCAAGTACTTCATAGAAAGCTTATCAAGTCTACTTTCAAATGGATCCAGCCACATGTCCATATCTATTCTGGAGCGGCCGCAATTGTTATTTTACTCCCGACTATTTTCTGTCCATGGTGCTGCGTCACCTCTTTTGGCCCAATGGGCTGTGTATCCAAGTTGGGCCCATTAGGGGCGCGTCCTAGGGTTGGAGCACGACCCTATGGTCGTTCTTCCCCTCTTTTTATACCTCTAGTTGCCGCCAAGAACAGGCGGGTTTTAATGATAGAGATAGCTTCTTGCTACCAGCTCGCAGCGCGCGTGTTGGCTAAACCGCCCGTCTGCCTGTAATCGGAACCCCACCATATTGAGTTTGATAGTGAAACTTTCATCTTTATCTAGCAATTTCAGAGCTTGTCCTACTTGTTCTTGCTTGTTCTTCGATTGCTTGCAGGACGAGTGCCCTCGTGGCCGGGTTGACGCGCACCACAAGTTCGCGGCGACCATTGGAGACGGTGTATCGGTTGCTAAGGCGCAGCGTCTTTGGACAGTTGTAGTCGGGCCGTGAACGTCGTCTTCATCTAATCGAGTTATCCCTTACCTCTCATCGAAAGATCGGGCCACAAACCCTAGCGGGTTCGCATCATATGATCACGCGGCAAGAGCGTTCCTTGATCACACACTTGGTTTGAAACAAGGTGTGGCGCTGATTCTGTTCAGCCCTTTCCATTTGTGCGCTTAGCACTCGCTGCACCACGAGGCTCTCATAGTGCTCTGCAGCTTCAGCCCCAATGTGTTCCTCATCTTGGTGGGGCGCGTCACCTTCCCCTGCATTGTTAGTTGCAAGCAAAGCATAGGTTTCTTCATCTAAATCACTAGCGGAGGAGTACCCACCATCAGCTCTCACAATCATTACACGAGTGCTTGGGCAGTCCTTGCGCACGTGACCATAGCCCTTGCAGCGTAGGCACTGAATATCTCTTGTCCTTCCTGATGAAGCTACTGATGATGAGCTCTTGGAAGGTGTAGCAGCAACCCCTCTTGTTGGTTCACTCGGGCATGGTGTAGAGTTTGTTGTAGAGGGACGCAGCTTGTTGCTTGAGGACGATGGTGCTGCTGCTCGAGTTGACGGTGCAGCAGCGTTAGAAGATGTCCAAGAGCTAGCACGACCTGCAGAAATGTTAGTCCTGAAGCTAGCTCTTCGTCCCTGTACTTCCCTTTCAGCTTTACAAGCAAGATGAAACAAACGATTAATTGAATTATATTCTTTGTAGGCTAGAATGTCCTGAATTTCTCGGTTCAGCCCACCCATGAATCTAGCCATACCAGCATCATCATTTTCTACCAATCCACAACGAAGCATTCCTGTTTGCAAAGCTTGATAATACTCCTCTACAGATTTGTTTCCCTGTCTAAGTTGTTGCAATTTGTGCAGCAAATCACGTGCATGATATGAAGGAACAAATCTAGCTCGCATGACTCTTTTCATTGCATCCCAGGTTTGGGGAGTGTTATTTGGATTGGAACGAACAAATTCACTCCACCAAATGGATGCAAAATCAGTGAACTCACTAGTAGCAGCCCTAACACGTTTATTCTCAGGAAAATCATGGCAAGCAAATTTCTGATCAATGGCTAACTCCCAAGTAAGATATGCATCAGGGTCATATTTTCCATCAAAGCAAGGAATGGTAAACTTGATCTTGCCTAAAGAATCATCATTATCACGTACCTCCCGCCGTGGTGGAGCGCCCATGCCATGGCGCTGCCGGCGCTGTTGTCTTTGTGGACGACCAAGTACCTCCTCATCATGCTCAGTGTCAGCAGCGTACTCCAGTTCTTCCCTTGCTGTGATGCTGCTATTAGCATCATGGCAATTGTGGTTGCGCCTAGCCGATCCATCATGACCATCTTGGCCCATTCTCTCCAACGTATTCAAGATACCTGCAAGAGAAGTGTTCACAGCCACAAGGGACCTCTCCAATGAGGAAAGCTTGGAGTTGGTGTCAATTTGAGCAGCCTCCAATTGACCAAGGCGATCATTGGCAACCCTAACATCCTCATCAAGGCCTTCAGCATGCTCCCTCACTTGGCGCTCAAAATGTTGTATGATGCCCCTCGTACGTGGTGAATGTTGAGGGTGCTCCCCCGATCCTCCTGTCATGGTTAATGGGAAGAAACAATTCACAAGAAATATGTTGATGAACCCTGAGTTCCTCTCGACACTCAAGGCTGTTGTTGGCCCGATCTTTCGGTGAGTTGTGATAACTACGATTTGGGAGAAACGTTGACGATCCGACTACAACCGTACGAGACGTTGTGTTGCGCCTTAGCGATCGATACACCTCTCCGTGGGTTGCTGATCTTGCCGGTGCAGATCAACCCTATTCCTGCAAGCAAATCGAAGAAACAAGCAAGAACAAGATAAAAGCAATTTGATATTGCAAATAGGAATTTAATACAAATGATAAGTTGGGGTTCCGAAGAACAAGCAGACGGACGGTCTAGCCGACACGCGCGCTGCAAGCAAGTAGCAATGGCTAAACTTTAATCTAACAAAACCCGAGAAACCCTGAAGGGGTAACTAGCTATATATAGGGGTGGGAGGACGACCTAGGGGTGCCTAGGGTCGTGCTCCACCAGCTTGGGGCGCACCCCACATGGGCCCCACCTGGGCCGGGGTCCCAAATGAAGTTACAAGCCCATAGGCCCATTATAGGTGATGCAACACCTTGTTCCTGTGATTCTGGCCACATGAGATAGAATTCAGAGAAGAGGCTGGATCTGTTAGAAAGAGGGCTCCGAGAGCTTTCCATCAAGTACTCACGGGCCGAAAACGGAGGTCGTATGCAGATTCGGTGGCCGTTTGAAGTCAGCAGTGTAGTAGGTGGCCGAATCGGATTCCAGCACTTGGAGTACTTGATCTCGATATCTTCTTGTTCATCCATGATGTGAGCAATGGTTGCATCCGTGGTAGCCATGGTCACATCATATGTCCTATCAACTATTGGAGCTATGTGTTGTCCATCTCCACTTCTACCAAACTTGTGCAAACGAGTTCTTACATTTCTTACTTTGTTATGTAAAAGGCGTTGGCAAACAGCAAGAACAGCAACAACGGTTAGTAGTACCGGAGCCGACAACAAGCACGATCCTGTGATATAGTAGATAAAAATTTGCGGAGCTATAGGTGGCTGCAAGTAATATCAAGGTACAGCTAGAACCACATTAATCAAGCAAGTTGAATAATCATTCAACGATGGTATTGTGCTGGTCCTAGGCAAAACCCTTTAGAGACGCGAGCCTAGTCACAAGCGTAGCCACTCAAAATAGCACGAAAATAACACAAACAAAACAGCAACAACAACAACTTCCTCTCTTCCCTTCCTTTTTTTTTCCTTCTCTTCACTTCTGATTTTTTTTTTCTTTCTTTTTTTTTGTTTTCTTTCTTTTTTTTTTGTACAGCAAGCTCAAAGCTTCAGCCAACAAGTCAAAACAAGAAGTAATGATGGGTTGGTTGGCTAGTTACATGATTCAGCCAACAAGTCAAAAGTGAGAGCACTTAAATGCTTTCTTGGGAAGGGCTGATTCACTTCAAAAAGTTGCAAAAGGGTTGGCTGTTGGTGGAGGCAGCAATAAATGCATTTGGGGGTGGCTGATGTGGTGATGAGGGTGCTGCTGGTTGTGGTGGACGAAATTTGGTGGGGTTGGAGGTGGATTTCGTGGTGAATATGGTGGTGATGGTGGCAGCGGGATGAAGATAAATGAAGTGATGGTGGAAGTGTTTGCGGTGACGAATTCGTGAGCAGAACTCGAAACTCTAAAGGACTAAACTACTAGAACCAGCAACTCAACCAATCGATGCAATCGAAAACTCAGCAAGCAAAGACTAAGTAGAATAGCAAAGGCTCAACATATTTTGGTGATTTCGGGTCTGACCTATTTTAGTGGTTTTTCTTTTGGGCTGTAGGTAAAAACAAAGAAGTGATAAAATCTCTCACCGAGCAACTTGAGCTCTGATACCACTTGATGCAGCAACGGGGGTTCCCGATCTTTCGATGAGAGGAGGATAAACTTCGATTTGGGGAAGGATACGACGTTGGCGGTCCGACTACAACTACCACAAGGGTGCTGCGCCTTAGCAACCGGTACACCGACTCCACGTTGTTGCTGTTCTTGCCGTGCCAAGAACAACCTTGAACCTGCAAGCAATCGAAGAACAAGCAAGAACAAGTTGACAAGGAAACAGCTCACGGCACTTGTCAAATGATGAAACTTAAACAAACCAAAATGGGGTTCTGAATACAAGTATCCGGGTGGTCTAGCCGACACACGCGAGTACAAGGAAGTAGCTGCAGCTAAACTTACATCAAAACAAAACCCAAAGTGCAAAATGGTGGCTGCTAGGAGTTTATATAGGTGGAGGAATGACCAGGAGAGGAGGTGGGAGCAAACCCTAGGTTTTGTGGACCCCTAATGGGCTGTAATGATACAAGGCCCAAGCCCAAGTTTCTGATGTAAAGAACTATTTTCGTCATTCTGAGCAGCCTGGGTCAAAGTTGATGGTGAGGCCACACATAGCTGAAAGTAGACGACGAGATCTTTCCAACAAGTACTCATTTGCCCCGTTTGCCCTCCGGAGTGAAGAGCATTGACTTCATCAAATCAGCGCTGCTAGTGGTGCTTGCGATTTGGTTCCTCTCCCATATTCCTAACAACAAGTAGATCACAACAACCATTTAGTAGCACCCAATTCTGAGAAGAACTTGTATGATTAGCTAGGAATGACTTTACCTAATAATTAAGTTCACGAGCTCGAGCTCTAGTCATTGGTCCTTGCTGTGCAATAGGCGTGGTTGTATCGTTGGAAGGGATGTCCTCATCACTGATTCGCGCGGCAAACTTTTGTCAATTAATGCCAATATTGGCCGACACGGGTGCGATGTTTTTGACCGGAATGAAAAAGTTCAAAAAGCTCCAAAACATGATTTTTGGACATATTGGAGTGTATTGGGTGCGTTCGTGGCAAAAACTCGCTTCGTGATTCGTGGCGAACATTTCTCAACTAATACCAATATTGGCATAAATTGGCTCACACGGGTGCTATGTTCTTCGCCAGAATGAAAAACTTCGAAAAGCACCAAAACATGATTTTTGGACATATTAGAGTGTATTGGATGCGTTCGTGGCAAAAACTCACTTCGTGATTCGCGCGGCGAACTTTTGTCAATTAATGCCAATGTTGGCCACACGGGTTCGATGTTTTTGACTGGACTGAAAATGTTCAAAAAACACCAATACATGATTTTTGGACATATTGGAGTGTATTGGGTGCATTCGTGGCAAAAACTCACTTCGTGATTCGCGCGGCGAACATTTCTCAACTAATGCCAATATTGCCATATATTGGCTCATATCTTGGCCAGAATGAAAAACTTCAAAAAGCACAAAAACATGATTTTGGGACATATTGGAGTGTATTGGGTGCGTTCGAGGCAAAAACTCACTTCGTAATTCGTGCGGCGATCTTTTGTGAATTAATGCTAATTTTGGCATATTTTGGCCCACACGGGTGCGATGTTTTTGACCGGAATGAAAAAGTTCAAAAAGCACCAAAACATGATTTTTGGACATATTGGAGTGTATTCGGTGCGTTCGTGGCAAAAACTCACTACGTGATTCACGGCGAACATTTCTCAACTAATGCCAATATTGGCATAAATTGGCTCATACGGGTGCAATGTTTTTGGCCGGAAAGAAAAACTTCAAAAAGCACCAAAACATGATTTTTGGACATATTAGAATGTATTGGATGCGTTCGTGGTAAAAACTCACTTCGTGATTCGCGGCGAACTTTTGTCAATTAATGCCAATATTGCCATATATTGGCCGACTCGGGTGCGATGTTTTTGACCGGAATGAAAAAGTTCAAAAATCACCAAAAAAATAATTTTTGGACATATTGGAGTGTATTGGGTGCGTTCGTGGCAAAAACTCACTTCGTGATTCGCCCGGCGACCTTTTGTCAATTAATGCTAATTTTGCATATTTTGGCCAACACGGGTGGGATGTTTTTGACCGGAATAAAATGTTCAAAAAGCACCAAAACTTGATTTTTGGACATATTGGAGTGTATTGGGTGCGTTCGTTGCAAAAACTCACTTCGTGATTCGCGCGGCGAACTTTGGTCAACTAATGCTAATATTGGCCCACTTGGGTGCGATGTTTTTAACCAGAATGAAAAAGTTCAAAAAGCACCAAAACATGATTTTTGGACATATTGGAGTATATTGGGTGCGTTCGTGGCAAAAACTAACTTTATGATTCGCGCGGCGAACTTTTGCAATTAATGCCAATATTGGCCCACACGGCGGCGAACTTCGTGATTCGCGGCGAACTTTTGTCAATTAAAGCCAATATTGGCATATATTAGCTGACTCGGGTGCGATGTTTTTGACCGGAATGAAAATGTTCAAATCTCACCAAAACATGATTTTTGGACATATTGGAGTATATTGGGTGCGTTCGTAGCAAAAACTCACTTCGTGATTCGCGCGACGAACTTTTGTCAATGAATGCCAATATTGGCCCACACGGGTGCGACGTTTTTGACCGGAATGGAAATGTTCAAAAAGCACCAAAACATGATTTTTGGATATATTGGAGTGCATTGGGTGCGTTCGTGGCAAAAACTCACTTGGTGATTCGCGCGGCGACCTTTTGTCAATTAATGCTAATTTTGGCATATTTTGGCCCACACGGGTGCGATGTTTTTGACCGGAATGAAAATGTTCAAAAAGCACCAAAACATGATTTTTGGACATATTGGAGTGTATTCGGTGCGTTCGTGGCAAAAACTCACTACGTGATTCACGGCGAACATTTCTCAACTAATGCCAATATTGGCATAAATTGGCTCAGACGGGTGCAATGTTTTTGGCCGGAAAGAAAAACTTCAAAAAGCACCAAAACATGATTTTTGGACATATTAGAACGTATTGGATGCGTTCGTGGTAAAAACTCACTTCGTGATTCGCGGCGAACTTTTGTCAATTAATGCCAATATTGCCATATATTGGCCGACTCGGGTGCGATGTTTTTGACCGGAATGAAAAAGTTCAAAAATCACCAAAAAAATAATTTTTGGACATATTGGAGTGTATTGGGTGCGTTCGTGGCAAAAACTCACTTCGTGATTCGCCCGGCGACCTTTTGTCAATTAATGCTAATTTTGGCATATTTTGGCCCACACGGGTGGGATGTTTTTGACCGGAATAAAATGTTCAAAAAGCACCAAAACATGATTTTTGGACATATTGGAGTATATTGGGTGCGTTCTTGGCAAAAACTGACTTCGTGATACACGCGGCGAACTTTTGTCAATTAATGCCAATATTGGCCCACACGGGTGCGATGTTTTTGACCGGAATGGAAAAGTTCAAAAAGCACCAAAACATTATTTTTGGACATATTGTAGTGTATTGGGTGCGTTCGTCGCAAAAACTCACTTCGTGATTCGCGCGGCGAACTTTTGTCAATCAATGCTAATATTGGCCCACACGGGTGCGATGTTTTTGACCGGAATGAAAAAGTTCAAAATGCACCAAAACATGATTGTTGGACATATTGGAGTGTATTGGGTGCGTTCGTAGAAAAAACTCACTTCGTGATTCCCGCGGCGAACATTTCTCAACTAATGCCAATATTGGCATATATTGGCTCACATGGGTGCGATGTTTTTGGCCGGAATGAAGAACTTCAAAAAGCACCAAAACATGATTTTTGGACATATTAGAGTGTATTGGATGCGTTCGTGGCAAAAACTCACTTCGTGATTCGCGGCGAACTTTTGTCAATTAATACCAATATTGGCATATATTGGCTGACTCGGGTGCGATGTTTTTGACCGGAATGAAAAAGTTCAAAAATCACCAAAACATGATTTTTGGACATATTTGAGTGTATTGTGTCCGTTCGTGGCAAAAACTCACTTGGTGATTCGCGCGGCGACCTTTTGTCAATTAATGCTAATTTTGGCATATTTTGGCCCACACGGGTGCGATGTTTTTGACCGGAATGAAAATGTTCAAAAAGCACCAAAACATGATTTTTGGACATATTGGAGTGTATTCGGTGCGTTCGTGGCAAAAACTCACTACGTGATTCACGGCGAACATTTCTCAACTAATGCCAATATTGGCATAAATTGGCTCAGACGGGTGCAATGTTTTTGGCCGGAAAGAAAAACTTCAAAAAGCACCAAAACATGATTTTTGGACATATTAGAATGTATTGGATGCGTTCGTGGTAAAAACTCACTTCGTGATTCGCGGCGAACTTTTGTCAATTAATGCCAATATTGCCATATATTGGCCGACTCGGGTGCGATGTTTTTGACCGGAATGAAAAAGTTCAAAAATCACCAAAAAAATAATTTTTGGACATATTGGAGTGTATTGGGTGCGTTCGTGGCAAAAACTCACTTCGTGATTCGCCCGGCGACCTTTTGTCAATTAATGCTAATTTTGGCATATTTTGGCCCACACGGGTGGGATGTTTTTGACCGGAATAAAATGTTCAAAAAGCACCAAAACATGATTTTTGGACATATTGGAGTATATTGGGTGCGTTCTTGGCAAAAACTGACTTCGTGATACACGCGGCGAACTTTTGTCAATTAATGCCAATATTGGCCCACACGGGTGCGATGTTTTTGACCGGAATGGAAAAGTTCAAAAAGCACCAAAACATTATTTTTGGACATATTGTAGTGTATTGGGTGCGTTCGTCGCAAAAACTCACTTCGTGATTCGCGCGGCGAACTTTTGTCAATCAATGCTAATATTGGCCCACACGGGTGCGATGTTTTTGACCGGAATGAAAAAGTTCAAAATGCACCAAAACATGATTGTTGGACATATTGGAGTGTATTGGGTGCGTTCGTAGAAAAAACTCACTTCGTGATTCCCGCGGCGAACATTTCTCAACTAATGCCAATATTGGCATATATTGGCTCACATGGGTGCGATGTTTTTGGCCGGAATGAAGAACTTCAAAAAGCACCAAAACATGATTTTTGGACATATTAGAGTGTATTGGATGCGTTCGTGGCAAAA